AAAAAAGCCCTTGAGTGCTGGCAGCAAGTAGCCTCCAGCCTGAGCCTTTTGCTCTGAGGAAAGTTAGAAGGCCTCACCAAAGGGTCCAGAGACATTTTCTTGGCATCTCCTCTTTTGGGGAGTCCCAGGCCCATGGGCAGGGACACAGCTGTGAGGAGAGGCCTTTCCTTCCAGTGGCTAGGGTCTCGGGAGAGGAGTTTCCCCTCTTTCTTCCATACACACCCAAGCTGGGAGCCCTCAAGGTACATCACCTGCCCTGACACAGGGACCTCTTCCCATTTTTTTCCTTGCAGCCTTGGGCAGGGATGAGGAGTGTGAGGAAGTTCATGGAGACTCAGCCTTGGGGGTAGGGAGGACTGCAGAAAGTCAAAAGGAAGCTAGTCCTGCCTTCCCAGAACAGGGGTGGTGATCAATCCCCATGCACAGGTCTTTTCCTCTTGTAGGGGAGGACCACCCTGGCTGCTCTGCTCCCATCTCAGTTACAGCCCATTTTCCCAGCTCTCCTCTCCTGATGATTAGTCTGCAATAAGGACAACCCTCAGGGTTGAGGCTGACCTGGAGCTTGAGTCTCTAACTTAGGATGCCATAGCCTTGCCTTCAGGTAGACCCACTGAGGACTTGCCCTGAGGAATGGACAGGTAGGTGCCTGTCATCTGAACAGGAGTGCGAAGCACTTACCATCTGTGTGTCATTCCCCAGTGTGTCTGCTGAGACCACATCTCAGTGACAGGCTGAGAGGTCACACATGCGGGGACACACACACACACACACTGCCTTCCTGGACAGGGAGGTCATGCAAATGAGTGAAGCCAGCTAAGTGCAAGACTAATGGGGAGGAATGGGTTTGTGATGACCTGAAAACCGTATGACTGATTCAAAGGGAGAGAATTTTCTAATTTTAGAAATGCTTCTGGCTGGGTGCAGTCTGTCCTGGATCTGTTTACTCCTATTTGACAGTAGTGATGCTCTGTCTTGTCCACTCTGTCTGTGGTTTGGGGCTAGACATGGGAGTGGGGCAGCATGGCAGTGAGACTGACCACTGTGGGTCCCAATGAAGCTTCATCCACAGGGCCCGGTGGAGAGGGAGAGACACGCTCAAGCAGCACCAGTGCAGGCAACGCTGTGGCCAAGCCACTGGGCCTTGCCATCCTGGTGGAGTTTCCTGGGGCCTTGCACCTTTGGAGCCTCTGACAGCCCCAGATCCTGTCTGCAGATGGGAGGAGGGTTCAGGAAGGAGGCCAGAGGATGGGAGCTGCCTGGCTCCCGCAGATGACTTTCTGGGCGACCTGGGTTACATGTTTTCTGAGCTTCTGGAGAACCACACTCCTGTCCACAGTGGGACCATGGGCTCCTGTAGGTCTTCCGGAGCTCCTACAAATTGACAGTCTCTGTCTCAAGTCTTATTTTCTCTCCAGCAGCAATGCCCCTATAAATGAGGTCTGGACTTCTCAACAGAGAGTTCAACGAAAAAGAGGCTTAAGTGAATAAGGAATTTGCAAATCGATCACACTGGAAACAGGCCAGGAGTTCAGAGATGTTGGAAGAAACTCGAGATATGCCCAGGAGCACCAAAGCGTCTCTCTAGCTTCCCACCTGCTCCCAGAATGCTAAAAGCCCCGACAAGATTACGGGAAAGCCTGGCCATTAGGAGGTAGCTTGTGGCCTATTTTGAGCCTGGATCCTATACCAAAGCCAAGCAGGTGGCCCACCCTCAGCATCAACAGCTACCCTCTGTGCAGAGAGAAGGGCTGTGGTCAAGGGGAGCAGCTCCGTTTGTGTGTGCAAGTGTGTGTGTGTGTGTGTGTGAATGTGCGTATGGTTGAGATAAGTCAGACTTTTAAACTGTCTTTAGCTAATCCATTAGAAGGATAGATACATCTTAAAACAATATCTAGACAGGAGGTCGACCTTGGCTCTGGGCAGAGTATGTAAGGGGGACTGTCCCCATGACATCTGAGAGCTGAAAGGGGTGTGCTTCCACATGTGGAAACCAAGGCTTAGAGAAGGCCAGGGTGGAGGTAAGATCAACAGCTATAGACCAAGACTGGAACCCAGACATGGAAACCCCACTTAGTTTCCCCAGGATGGGCAGCTGGGGGCCTTGGTGATCACTCCCATACATGTAGGGGACAGAGGCTGGAGCTGTCTCTCCCACCAGCTAATTTACTCAGGGCTCTCAGCAGAACAACCCCAGACCCTTCCTGGTACCTGCTGGGTGGGGCTCCCTGCTCTGCGAAGCAAGGAGCTCTTTGACCAGAGTCCTTGCCTTTTCAAAAGTCAAGGGACCAGGGCTCCAGGCTGACTGTCCCTCTGTCCTGCAGCGTGACACTGGGCAAGGTCACTGTCTTTATTTGAACTCTGATGCTCCATGTTGTGGTGGGAGGCGTGGGATCAGACCGTCTTGAATGACCCTTTCTGTGCTAACTCAGGGCCTGTGTGCTGCAGAGCCCACTAGCTAGCCTACAGTGAGCCTATCCTGATGCCTGGAAGGACATGGGTCCCCCTGAGCTCTGAAGTATGCCATGGGGCTTTTCCCGAGAGGTTTCCATCCCCAGTTCCACCTAGCTGTGATCAGTGTGTGCATTCTTCACCCTCCAGAACACCAGGTCCAGTTATCTGCATTGTACAGGCCAGAAGACTCAATCCCAGAGGGCCCAGGTGGCTCTCCTGAGGCTACACATTGGCAAGTGACAAGGCTGGGACTGGAAGCAGCACTGTTTGAGTCTCAGCTGGAGGACAATGCCTGTTCACCAAGACCCATGGGTATGATTTAGTCTAGTGGTGGGAAGGACTTGATAAGCAGTGGGTGTCTCCTCCTTGTCCCCAAGGGACAGTGGGGCCCAGAGCTCAGGGCTCAGAATGCTGCCTGCTCACTTGCCTCACACAGACCCTGGCCATGTCGAGGGCATGGAGCTAAGGTGGGGTTTGCATTGGGGAAGTGAGCAGGCGGCACTCAGGATCACAGCTCTGCTCGTTCTGCTCTGTCTGCCTGTCCTGCCGGCAGGCTGGGCAGCCCCATGATCAGGTAGGCGAGGGAGGGGAGCTCAGCACAGGGAACCATTTCCTTCCAACCTCACAGTGCATTAAGGTTAAGCCTGAGATTTTTATGACCAGCCCCTAGTTAGCCCAGCCAGCCCGAGTGCTGGGAATTCTCTCACCATGAAATGAGGCTGTGGTTTGAGTAAAGGAAAATGCACTCCATTCACCATTTTCATAACACTTCAGTGAGGCATCTGGCCCTTTACACCTTTACCTTCAGTCTCCACCCCCACCTCACAATAGCCCTCCAGGAGGTGGGGCAGATCCCCTACTGATTTCAGGGATGAAGATGCTGAGGGCGCCCAAGGTCACACAGATGGTAGGCCACCAAACAGATTCAGCACCAGGCCTCCTGGCTCCCAGTCCCAGGCTCACCCCACTGTACCTGCTACTGCCCTGCAGAGCAGTGTTTCTGGGGTCTTGGGAAGGAAGGTGAAGGGCAATGTGGTCAGATGTGTCTAGTGGCAGCTTCTTCTACCCCTCGGGCAGCCCTGTCTGCTCTGCCCAGTGTGCAGGGGACTGCAGTAGAGAGGCGGGGGTCTTACCTGCAGCTGTGGTGATGCCCAGGAGCCGGCAGGTGTATTCCAGCCCAGTCCAGAACACCTCCAGCTTCATGGTGCCAGGAGCAAGTGCAGGGCCCCAGCAGGGCAGGCAGCAGAGGCTCTAGCCTGAGATGCTCTTGGACGTCCTTCTGACGTCCGTGTGCAGTGGGAGGCTGTTGTTGCCGGCTTGGGGCCCCAGTGCCCCAGGGCTTTGCCTTCCCAAACCAGTCCCGGCCACCACAGCCTGGTCGAGGTGTGAATAGGGCTCACCTTCCTGATTTGGCTGTCATGCCCTTGCCAGGCACTCGGCTTAATCATTACCTTGTAAGAATGTCCCCACCACTCTGCACAGCCAGGGCCTGGCCTGCAGCCACCACGGCCCCCGCGGTCCCTGCGATCAGGCCGATTAGGGCTGGGCTGGAGGCAGGCAGCCCGAAGCCGGCAATTAACAGTTTCTGGCTGGGAGGAGGAAGACTGCAGAGGAGCCAGCCCAGACCCTTCCTTACTGGGCAGCTAGCTCCAGGACAGTCACACCTGGACCTCAGGTTGGTGAGGTCTAGAGAGGCAGTGTCTGCAAGCGACAGTGTGTGCAGGCAGGTCTATTTGTGCGCATGTGGGAGAGAGGGATGTGTCTTTAAATTACCAGCAGAAACAACTTTTGAAATGAGTCCCAGGCTTCCATTCTTCTGAGTATAGGTGGATTAGAAAGCTTTTGAGTCTGTGGCGGGTTTGGGCTCTGATCAGACATACTTAGCTCAGGCCCACTCCACACGGGGACCTTTCTTTATTCGCGACATGTATCCTGACATGTGACGTGGGAAATCACTACGATTCTTTGGGAGGGGAGTTGCTATGTCAATAATTAACTGGTGACCTTGGGGAAACAAAAAGATATTTGTGAGCCTTAGTAACTTTTGCAGAAAATGAGAGGGTTTGGCTGCATTGGTGCTTCTCAAAGTATGCTCTGAGAGCTGCGCCAAGAAGCCCAGCCTCTAAAATTTGGCAATTGTGGGCTTTTACTAATTCTTAATCTACTAATTGATGTAAGAGATGGAATGATATCAAGTTTTAGTTTTCTTCCCATTTTCTGAAATCATTTTACCCCATTGCTCACATGGGATAGACAAACAAAATAACTAAAAAATTAGGGGTAAAAACCCAGACCAAATTCTCACAAGGGAAAACTCAGGCATAATCCGTCTTGCTTTTTTTCTTCGGTGAGGATGCATACATTCTAATATAATAAATAGATTTTTTTTGCTAATAAAATTATTCTAATTTGATTGATTAATTTGATCAAGATTTCATAGCATTCCATAAGCTACCATTGTTTTTCATCTCCTGCTGCCCCTTGAATGAGTTTAAGAACTTCTGTGTTCATGTGATCTTCAAGGCCGAGTTTTAAAATGTATGATTTGACATATTTATTTCTTGGGTTATCTAACTGTTTAACAGCAACTCGGGCTGGTAACCCCTAAATGCTGCTACCTGGGTCCTGCAGCACACATGGCACTGAGCAGACGAAGCTGGGGGACCAGGTGTCGGCAGCCAGCTGCTCGGCGCCCTGTAGGAACATGTTCTCTCAGCTCCTTGGGAAGCTCTGCTTGACCTCACAGCACCCCTGCCTTGTCCTTGCTAACAGTAGCTGATTTTGTTGTATTCCTGATGCCTGTGGGCTCTGAAGACATGGAGCCCTTCCAGGCCTCAGGTGGAAGGGCCTGGTTAGTTCACCAGTCCTGGTTATAGCCTTCCCTTCCTAGTGACTTTGATTTAGGAACTAGATTGTGACCCAGTTCTGGTCAAATGGCCCAAAAAAGGCACGTGTTGACAGCTTCTGGGAAAGTGTCCTCACTTTTAGCAAGGAGCCTGAGGGGGTGCTGTGCTTCTCCCTTGGATCCACCTGTGTTGGGAGGAGTAGTTGTCCCATGATGGGGAAAGGGATTAGAGGCCAAGGGCATGGCCAGTGCAGGGAGTTTGCCCAGTGAAATGGGTGGCAACACCAGGCTCCAGATGTGGTGATGGAGCTGCTGATCTCACCTATTCCTTATTGTGGAGACAGTTAATTTAGGTTTCATCACAGGTGAAAGCACTTGTTGGTGGGTGATGCCTGAACTGAGTCCTCTCCACAGCCTTTTTCCCAGGAAGCTCTTTCCTGTGCACTGGGCCCAGTTGGGGAGACTGAGAGCTAAAGAGGCTGGGTGTTAGGGGGTGGTTTTCCATCCCTGAGGGTGCTTTACTCGGGTTGTCCCTTAAGCGGATGGAAGAGGGAGGTGTGGGGCTGGTGGTGGAAGAAAAGCAGGGCTCATTGCAAAAGCAAAATGTGGAGGAATCCCAGTGAGGGCCCCTCTTGAAGAAACAGCAAAGATTCTGGCAGAGTTCATGACTCCTCTTAGTATCATTCAGCCATTTGTGGGGCTCCCTGGGGAAAGGAGGTATTTGGCTGGGCGGACATGTTGCTTAGACCTCTAGGAATTCAGAGAAAAGATTGCCAGGGACTAGGGGCCAGAGATCCTAAATTAGAAGCTGACTGAGAAGGTAGTGAAGCTTTGGGACATGAAAGTCTGCCCTCGCAGTCACTAGTGGGCCCCGGGGATCAGAAAGGGGGCATCTCCTAGAGCAATCAATGGACACCTGGGGAGCTTGTGAAAAGCTGAGAAGGGGAAAGGATAGAGATAGGGACAGAGAACTGTGTCTGGCTGTGAGGAACCTGCATGAAGAATGTGGAAAGGGACTCTGAGTGACAAAAAGGGAGTCTCAGGTTATAGCACTATAGGAGGCAGAGTGCTGGGGCCCTGATGCTCTGGACAGTGGGGTGACATGGATATTACACAGAGAAGTACAATTTCAATTGCTGTTGCATCCTAAGGAGTCCAAACTTGCACTAGGGAGTAGAAGTTATGGGGGGAACTTTTAGCTCAAAGTAGGGGAAGGTGTTCTAATAGTTCCCCCATTGATAGAATGGGCTGTTGTGGGAGGTCCTGAGCTCCAGGGAGCCCATACAAATATGGGCGGGGGTGGGGGTGACACTGTAGGCAGTTGTCCATCACTGACTGGATGATTCGGTCTGGGAATCTGCCTGAAAGAATCCAAAGTGCTCTGAGAAGTGCCAGGGATGCCACCTAGAAGACAAAGGAAGGGAACTGGGGTTTCCTACCTTGGTGTGGCTCCCTCTTCTGGACCCTCCGTAGGGTTCCTGATGCTTCGAAAGGGCAGAGAAGCATGTGGGGAGGGGAGGGCGGGGCAGGCTCAGCTTGCATTCAACAGCTGTGTTGTCTGGGACATTGCTTACCCTCTTTCAGTCCTAACTTCCTCGTATGTAAAATGGTTCTACAAGGTATCTTTCTGGGTTAGACGTTCTGTGTCAAAAGTATCCGTTGAGAGCGGGCGCCAGGCAGTGGGAGCTGATATTATAAGTGATTAAAGAAAACTGCCTGCACTGTGGCCAGCCTTACGTAGATTTGTTACCACAGGGTGCCACCCACTGAGCCAACAGCACCCAAATTGGGGGCACAGGCTGGCCCCAACCTCATGGGAAGCAGGCGAAGGGAATGCTGTTCATTGGGGTGGCAGGGCTCACCCTGAGCTTTGCTTACTATGTTGTTTCATTTCACGGTGCACCAACTGCAATTTCTGTGTTGTAGCCATAAGCAGGCAGGTTGACTCAATAAATGTACAGTAATCCAAGCAACCTGGTAATAAAATGTCCTGTCTCTGGGGCTGTGAAAGCTGGTGATGATGTCGGTGACAATGGCAATAGTTAGTGTTTGCTCAACAGTAACTGCAGTCCAGGTGACCTCTGTTCTTAGTTGTCACATTCACAGATGAGGAAGCAGACTCAGGTGTAGGTTAAGTGCTCAAGCTCACACCACACAGAAATGAGGGGACGGTGAGCCCAGCATCCTGAGCTCCGTCCCTCTGCTGCCCCTCTATTTTCACAGGTGCCTCCATCATAAAGCTGCCCAGTGATGGTAGCTATCCCGGGAGCCCTGGGGCAGGTCACTGGGGATGGCTTCAGGTGGAAACTGGGCACTGGTTTCCTCACAGCTCCTAGCTCCGAGGAAGCAGAGGTGAATTCAGGAAGCTCTCTGACTGTCCCCTGACACTGGTCCATGGAGTGCATGCCCCCAGGTTTGGGGCTGCAGCTCCCCCCAGCCTTGCCTAGAGCTTCTGTGTGTTGCTATACATGGATGATTCACAGATGCCCCCTGCCATGTGGGGTGGCCATAAATTGGGCACCATTAATAGCAGCACAATCATCCCAGATGCCCAGGATGGCTCTGGGGAGCTTGGGAAGTCAGAAAAAGATGAAATGTGCGCATATGCTAATCTTCATCTGTTGGGGGTGGGGAAACTTGCACAAAATAGTAGAAAGCTTGTGGGTGTAACTCAGAGCAACTGTTGGGTCCTAGGAACAACCCCTGGAGCTGGTCTAAGACTCTGACCTCTTTAGATCCCCTTGTTATCTCATCCCTTGTCTCAGTGTTTGCAGAAGAAAATGGGACCCTCAGACCTGCACCCTCCAAATTCCCTGCGTTCCTCCTAACTGCACCCTCCCCCCACTCACTCTTCCCTTCAATCGAGGAAGAGGGTTTAATCCTCCCACTTGTGCTTTCAATCTCTGTCCTTGTATATGCCCTGAGATCTGGAACCAATCTTTTTTACTTTTCTCTCCACCTGTTCCTTCCACTCATTTACAGCCAAGAGCAAAGCTTTCCCACAAGACGCTGCTTTTTCTGCAAGCCCCACGTGTCTCTCCCCCCTTTACCTTTGGAAAAGGGTCTAAATTTACCACTCCTTCCCATATCTCTTTGTTTTCTGTTCACTTGTCCATTTACTAAAATGTGGTTTCCACTTGCTTCTATGTCACTGGGATCGCACTGGCCTGGCAGCTGACCACCAATCAGATCCAATGGCTTAGATTTCTGTCCTCATTCAGCTCATTTAGCTCCATCTCTTAGACTTGTTAGCATTTGAAACTGTTAACTGCTCCTTCCTCCTGAATATCCCTGTGACATTATCCTTTGTTAATCAGCCCACATGCATCAGAGCTTGAGTTCTTTCTTTCTTCTGAGTGCCCTTTACTGACTTCTCTCTTTGCTGTTTCCTCAGGGGTGCTCTGAGGTTGGCAGCCTCCAAACAGTTACAAGGATGACCCCTCCTGGCATTCCCAGCTCTGTGTGGTCTCCTCCCACATTGTACAGGGTTGGCCTGTACATGGTAGTATGTCAGCCCATATAAGACACTACCTTGGT